TCACGGACATGTTAAGTCGCTACGCCGATACCTTTCTAGCCGAGCTAGATGATCTTCCACGGCACGCTTCCTGCGGTTTGATGAGGTTCAAAATGACGATGTTTCGCGATACGACCTATCGGTGAGCAACGATCTCTGCGACCTGCGAATTTTTCATGTCTGCTAATGAGCTGTACGCCGCGGTGCAGACTGCTCACGGAGAACCAAAAGATGGAGCTACACAACCAGGCATTGAAGTACCTGAAGCAATATTCGAGACGTTGCCAGTCCTGCGGTGAGGGCCAGTTCGCAAAATTGCTAGGGAAGATCTCGAAACGGGAGGAGAGATTGAGGAGGCCGTCCGTGATCGAGGAAATGTTTGGTAGCGCGGAGTTCGAGACCATGCGTGACGTTCAGGGGACAAAGAATGGTAGGAAATGACGTTCGAAGCATCTTCGGCGGTTGAACGAATCGTCTTTGGTGAACAGTGCAGCGTGGCAAGTGGTTCTCTTGCCTGAACATGTTCAGACGCATCGAAAGAAGTCCGACGGTCACGTTCTCCGACGCGGACTTCAACAATTGCCAGTGCGATCTGATATTAATGACGGTGTACACGCAGATGCTGGACCATTGTCGCGGCATTGGTAATGTCGGATCAATCGGTACCCGTGTAAGAAATAAACGCTTGTGACTTTCCGTTTATCAGGAAAAAATGAGATGACAATTACCGCCATTTTGGAGTTCGCGGAGATCTGCCTGATGACCTTCAATATACCGCAAGCTCGTAAACTACTGGTGGAAAGCGAGTCGATTCTGGCCCAGGTAGGAATATACACGAAAGACTCGTCTGGATTACTATGAGAAATATTCATTTTGTCGCGTCGATGCCCGCAGTTGTTCCAATCGGCGAACGACGAGGTAATCCTGCTGCCCTACCTTAGCGCCAAGATTCAGACCCTGCAAGGACAATGTTATCTCGAAAGTGGCTCGCTCTTCGAAGCGGAGAAGATCCTCGAGGCGGCTTTGCATAATTTAGGCTACAAGTTCCCGAAGATCGATTTGATGATCGACATATTCTCGACCAAAGAACTGCTGAGGCTGAAATGGAATTTGAAGTGCGGGTATCATATCGAAAGCACCAACGAACGCGTTGTCGCAGAAGGCAGCATAACCGAGACCGTGGACTATCTCGAACAGTTAGCCGAATGCTTGGCGCAGATGTTCGATCTTTTCAGGGTAATTGATCGATTAGAATGACAAATTCTTAGACGAAACTCATGTGTACCGATGATTAGATCAAAGGCATGAAAAGGCACGCGCGACTGGCAGCTATCTGGTGCTTGAACACTGCTTTAAGGACCACTGGGAACTTCTTCGTTTTGAGCACATCCTACACCAACATGTTGATCACTGCGCACATGTACGAGGACAGGTTTGTGACGGTACGATGCAATTGAATTGATCATTTTTGAGGAAGATACCTTCTCTAATTTCCAGAGCTATTATACCGTCTTTGGAAGAGAAGGGCCTCGACATTTGCAGGCAAAGCAGAGACGCCATCGAAGCGCAGGAATTGAACATGATCGCTCTGCTTTACGCGGGAATATTTTTCTCGAGATGGGTAAACGGACAAGTCTTTAAAGCGATCAAAATCGGCTTCGTCTGCTGCAGAATGGCTGCCACGATCGGCTCCACGTTTCTGAAACAGTTGATCATGCCTCGTCTGACTCATCTACTCATGCTTTCTTGCCGCTATTCGGAGGCGATCACACAGCTAAGAGAACTGGGTAATTAAGCGTTGAACGTTGAAGAAGCTACTTAGTCTTCCAGACATTTTATGAATCGCAGAGTTCGAGTCCAACAACGATCTAGACAAATCCGGTCGCACCTGGTACTACGCGCTCTGCGCCGATTTACAATTGGATACCGGTATCACGCTACTGTCTTTCAAAAGCTGCGAACGGTATTACCTTCGGGAAGGTGAGTCGATGATCAGTTTACACGACCCAGAAGCGGAAAGACGGTACTTCATCTCCATGTGGCTATGGTACTCGATCATGGATCGTCTTTTGTTCGATTCTTTTGTTACCGTGAGTCCATTGTAATTATGGAAAATTTGTTCCCAAGGTGCATTAGAACAGGACAATGGGAAGCTTCTAAAATCTGGGAGAGAAAAAGTGTGACCGAGACGTCGATCATGGATGAACACATAGTAGCAGCCACCATCACCGCCTTGAAGAGGCTCGAGGGTTTGCTTATTCTTTATGGTAGCTATATTTTACGAATCTGCTTTCAACTTCTCCAACAGCTTTGCAATAATGAACTACGCTCGCGGTTAGTGCACAAATTAAACAGCAGAAACGTCGATGCGGCGACTACTCTGTCGCAAGTAAAAGACATATTCAGGGAGATGAAGATGGTGACTAAGATTGTTAAGATCACAATTCCCAGGTGGGGACTGCCGACGTAATAAATTAGTTGTAAATACGATTGCGATATTAATTTCACTGAGAGATTGAACGTTGCTAAGCAGCTTCGTGACATTACAGGTACATGTTTTTGAAAGCGTATTATTATATGATCAACTTTCAAAGAAATACTGCGATGAAACTACTGAGACGATTGAAGAAAATATGTACGAAGGTGGAGAACCAAATGATCTACACCTGGGCACTTCATTTTGAGAAGGTTTACTGTCGTTATTATTGAATTTACTTGCGATGCTGAGTGTTCAGGATATACTGTATAATAATTACATTTTTGTAGGTATGGTCTGGTGGTTCGTCCGAGGTACTAGATGACAGATGGAAGCAGAATGCAGAGAAAAAAATGAGTGAATGGTCCGAGATCAACGCAAATGAAACTACGATGGTCGTCTTCACATTTCCATTACCAACACATCCCAATTAATCTTCCTGCGTTGACATATAAATGTATAAATGTGGAATATTAATGTAATTTTAATCTACGAAATAGAAGTTTTCTTTTAAACCAAGTTTTCAAAACCTATCATCGCTTACTTACATAGTAGTATTTTCTGACAATTGTATCCTAAAATATGTATACATACATAGTATCAAATATTTGATACGAGCGTATAACAAATGACATACTCGCGAGTCAAACTTCAGGTGTCTTCAGACACTGCAAATTATTCTATGAGCTAATCAGGAATCAAAATCTTTGTATAAAAGATACATCTACTACATTTCAATCATGTCGTAAGTAAACTAAGAGTTTGCATCATCGTAGTAAACGCTAAATGTTAATTTCTTATTGTCTCAACCACCATGTAGCGCAAGTGCAAATTGTTCACCTTGTCAATCAGTCGTTTCTCCAACAATTTTTGTAGATCCTAATTCTAGATCTTGCACAGTAAGTCGTACAAAAAAAATTGATGTTTTATCAAAGTTTCTATAAAAAAGACCTTGAAATATATTATACATTCACAGGTTTCCTTTCCTGCAATATGTACTCCTTATGCAGTTCTCTCTAATTTCCCTCGTGCTCCTTACAGTGGTTGTTCATCTCATCTATTATATTGTGATAAATATCAACCAATTTCAACATTACGTAATGTTCGTTCTGCTTATACATGTCCTCCTTACAGTAAGATATCTATATCTTTGCTTTATATGTATATATATATTGCAAAATTTTTGTGCCTATGATTGAATAAAAACAAAACTTATTTTATTTGCAGCATCAAGCACATATAGATGTTAAATTTAGATCCAAATTGTGATATTGTAATTTAATTAATAATTACGACATTATGTTGTCATAGCTCTAAATAAAGTGTGTAAAGAATCATATTCAACACCAGAGTGGTCTGAAAACAATTTTATTTTTATATGTAATACAAACAGCTAGTTTATGTATCGTTGCCCTACCAGTCACGTTTTGGTTTCTGCGAGACAGACGATAGCTTCCAAAGCTTATAGGGCTGCGGCTTTCTTTCTACTTGATTATGTCGTGGGTGTTCTTTACATATTATATATTTTCTATCATTCTTCCACACTTCATAACATTTTCTACACCTTCTATGTAAAATCGTTTTCATCTTTAAGCCACAGGTAATATTATATATAGGTACAAACGGCAGAAGCAAACTTCCTGAATTAATTTTATTACTAAATATGTTTGTTAAAATGCTAGTGCTTTGTTTAACATTCATATAATGCATTGTACGAGTTGCAATGGTTGGGCTTGCTGAAAGAACCTGTGGTCCAATAGAACCCATACTTTGATGTATTTTTCTGAGCAATGGAAGTGCACTCATTCTACCTGAAAAGGTTCATGTAAGGTTATTAGAAATACACTCAAATATTTTATCATTTTAATTCGTTCAAACTGTTGTTTAGATTTGACAAATGTAAGGTTACGTTAATCTAGATATAATTAAAATACAATTTCACTCACCAATCATTGTTGTCAGCACTTGATTTTTCAAACATATATTAAATACATGAAATATATATGATACAGACTGCCAATTATATTAATTTTTAACTATGTATATCTATGATGAAAAATATTTCTTATGATCCACGAAACATTAAAGCTGATTAAAGCTCCGATCACATGTGTACATGTTATCTAGGTGCCTAAGAAACTACTTTTTGAGGTGCATTTTGTTGTAGCACATGTCGAGTATGTATTTTGAAATTAATCAAACACAAGTTTCAAACTAATTGTTCTACTTAAATAAATATAACGTGTTTTATAAATAAATCCATCATTTACGTCGTGCTTGAAATAAGAACGTACCAATGTATGTTCTTCATTAAGAGTATTTCGATTTAACTAAATGAAAAGTTTTATATAAAAAACAAATCGACTTTAAGCACTTTATAAATAAACAAAAAGGAATTAAAAACGATAAAACATTAACCTATAAAGCATCGAATATATTAAAGTGAAGATTAAACTGTGCTACACTTTTCAATTTAACGATTACAATCGTTATCATTGACGTGTTGTCGAAATGTGTTTTTATTGATATTATTTCATTAACAACGTAATAATTGATTCGTTGTATTTAGGTTATATTTTATTTTTCATTTCTTCAACAAAGTATTTCTGACACATTTGTTTACTAATTTATTAGGACGAAGATCGTATTGCATTGATACGAGATTTATACAATTTGTAATCAATAAAGTGTCAGAATGTTATTAAGAAGGATAAATAGTTTACTACAAATTTCT